GTGCAGATGCTCTCACACCAACCTGCTGCCATTCCTGAGCAAGCTCTGCACTGCTGGTGACACGATTCCGTAGCTGACTCCTCAGGAGGAGACGGTCCTGGTGCTTGCTGGACACTCTGGGACGTCCTGAAGACTTCTTCACTGCAGTCGAACCTCTCTCCTTGAAGTTCTTGATGATCCAGTAAATGGTTCTTTCAGGTGCAATATTCTTTGTAGTAATTTCCTTACATGTGAGGCCATTTTGATGCAAAGCGATGGCTGCACATGTTTCTTTGGAGGTAACTATTGCTAACAAGAACACAATGATTGGAAGCGCTTCTTCCCTCCTTTTATAGCAATCAGTCTGCTCTTACAATCTAATTAGTATGATAGTGATTAACCTGACTAGTACTCATCCACACTTTCACATGTGCTGCTGATGTGATTAGTCAATTAATGTTAGCTGGTCATTTTGGTCAGGATCAAAAAACAGTGAATTTTGTTTTTTTTTGTAAAAAGTTCTTTTTTTTTGGCCAATGAAGCTTTTAGCAATTATTTAAAATGCATCTGATCACTCTACACAATAATCTAGAAACAATGTGAATGAACACCACAACAGCTTAAGCAGAAAACTTTGCAAAACACAAAATTTATGTCACTGCCAAAACTTTTGGCCATGACTGTACATTGGGTGGTTTGACTCATCGGGCATCGTCTTGTCCCACACTTGTGGTTACAGGTAATAAAGGTTTAAGGTGGTTAAAGGTATTATGCTTAAATTATACTTAATATATATATTATATTTACTCCATTTACTGCCATCCAGAAGCTACAGAATATACTTAGGTCTGCATGTTTCCCACAAGATAAAAAAAGCACAATTTACCCTGATCATCCAATTCAAAAATGGCTCTTAATGCATTGTGTTTCCTTCTTGAGCATCAGTGAAGGTTTGCAGCTTTGGTAATAGTTGGTTAGGAGTCCCTCCATTGTCCTCAGTGTGAAAAGATGGAAGCCAAAGCTGGAAAGGGTTCAAATATGCAGAATATGCTGGAAAACTGAAGAATGTACAGGCGTGTTTTTATGAAGAATAGCGGGCAGTTAACTGCTTACAAACAAGGGGGAAAAAAACAATAGTGAATCATCCAGGCAGCAACATATTAAAAATCAAAATTTTCAACAACAAAAAAAATCAACATATTTAAAAATCATGTAAACTTTTGAAAGGGATAATTTTTATAGGCTTAAATTCAGCTTTGTCTTGTGGTAGCCTTAGAATACTGTATGTGAAAGCTTATTCACAACAGTATTGAATAAAAACATGCACTTTTATGAGCCTTCTTATTTTGTTAAAATTATTAACATTTTCACTTTGCAAGGGGTAGCCTATGTCAACTTGTTATGAGCAGAACTGGGCTTGCCAGTGGCTTCTGTGTGTAAGATGCCATTTATTGTTAATATCATTACTTTTATTCTGTCTCACTTTCAACAATGGCAAAACATGAAAATGCTACCTATATAAATTCAAAACAAATGTGCAGAAGATGCAGGAGAACTTACAGAACAGATACTTGGACATAAAGTCTAATGTACAAAATCCAGCAAAGTCACAGTTGTGAGAAGCATCTCAAACGTCAAGATAAATGTCAGTGACCATCTGAAATATACGCTGACATCATCAATATGTTCTGTATGCAGTGAGTATGCAACAGTCACGATAGCTGATTAGCCGATAGTATGAGACCGCTTTTGAGCATTTACCCACCAGATGGCGCCATTTATTGGTTAAAGGGGTCATATGATGCGATTTCAATTTTTCCTTTCTCTTTGGAGTGTTACAAGCTCTTG